ACAGACAGGGTGTGAATTGATCTCACAGCCTTTATTTGCGGTGGTTTCTCCACTTGTTTGGCTACATTCACTACATCTTTCTCTGAACTGGTATTTCTTCATTTGTGGCAGCAATGCATCATCTTCTGATGCTTCACTGCTTTCCAGTTCCAGCTTTTATAGCAGTGGATACTTTGAGCACATCTTGGGAGAATCTTTTTCTCTGTGCCTTCATCTTCTTTCTTGGGTTTTAGCTAAGATCAGTTAGTCCTGTTGTCCATTTCTTCTATTTACACCATGCTGGCCTGTCCCACCATGGTTTCCACTCAACTTGTTTATCTTTGAGGGATTGTATTCCATTACTTTTTGTATGTCTTCCACAATGATATTTGTCATCTACAGCTTCATGGCTGGCTGTTATGCCGCCCTTTATTAGAGAAGATGCCTTTTATCAAATGTTGTCACATTTTTTCTGACAGTTTTCCAATCTTGTTGATCTAATCTCTCTCTTTGAGTTGAAACCTACAGAATTTGGTTTCTTGTCTTTCTCTAACCATTTAACAGATTGCTTCATTGTTTTTTTGTTTTTTTTCATGTACCTCTTTCATGATTGTGGCTTGTCTGTTTCTATTGCAAGCTACTCTAGCCACCTTTAGTTGCCACAGAAATTATATGCCTTTTTGAGTCCTAATTTATTTCAGGTTACTTTTTGAGTTTTTGATTATGTCTCCCATAAGTACTTAGACATACTCAGTGGGATTTAAGTCCAATATTAAGTTGCCTGGCTTTCCTGAACCATTTGCAACCTTACCATCTTTCACTGAAGACATATTTTATTTTGTCACTCACTCTAGGTATTCAGAAATTTTTGACATTGATGTTTCTCATAGTCTTTTTTCCAGATAAGTTCTGTACTTTTTATTCTGATACAGTATTCACATCAGAGACTTGGTCTATGGGAGATGTCCATCTCTGTTTATTCTATTGTGTTACTTCTCTGACTGACCCTGATTCTCCTTCTAACAAATGTTTTCTGTGTATGATTGGGGCTGCTTGTTCTTACTTTGTAAAATGGAATCTTCCTGAGCTAATTGATCATCAGTTATTTATACCTTATGGTGGTTTTTGTTTCTTGGATCTTGCTCCACCCAAATTTATGAATTGGTTTGTGCAGCTGAACTGCCTTGTTTATCATGATGTTCCCAACCACCTTCACCCTCTTGGCACAGGTGTATCAAAATGTGCATGTCTTGACCAGTTTACAGAGTTACATTCAAAATGTAACTAAACTACTTTATTATCAATGTATAACAATTAATTTGGCATCAAAATGTGGTTTATAGTTCAAATTTTAATATTTTATTAAGTTTTAATTCCTTAATTTTAAAAGTAAATATTTAAATAAATGCTCAATCTTCACTTTCTGTATCATGTGACATTACTTCATACTACCCATTTTCTGCTACCGCTTTATGGCCTTTTAACTTTCTATAGAATTTTCCACTTATACATATCCCCAAGCTGAACTGTCAATTTGTAGTAGGAAAACTTTTTGTTTTACAGAGGTATAAGTAACATGCCACATCCCCCACATAGCATCCAGCTTTCATAAATTCTCTCTCATGTTTGCTGCTGTATTACTTGTAACCAGTATAAAATGAAGAATTCACTTAACTAAAGCTGTGAGGTCTAAAGGCTTTGGACAAAGCAGAACTGAACATTTTGGCATCATTTTCTTTCTTTAGCACTGCTGAAGCTTTGATTCACCATGTATGAGAATTATTTTAAGCCTTATCTATCTTAGGTAAAAAACCAGATAAATTATATTAGTTTTTGGTCAATCTATTTTATACGCATAGAAATATTTCATATTCTAAATTGGACATCTGAGACTACATTATGATTACTTTGAATTAAGCTAAGCTTTGAGTTAACTTGGATTGTATGAGTGCAAAATCTGGAAGACAACAATATTTTGAATGTAAGTACTAAATTTCTAGTTTTTTATGTATATTTTTTAGTTATTGTTATAAAAGTAACTAGAATGAAGAAATTAGGAACTTGTAAGTCATTTTAAATGAAATATACAAAATACTTGTGGTCAATGATAGTATACTAAGTGTGAGTGTGGTTGGGTAATTTGATATAAGTGTACTGGTAACTGGATCTATTGTTCACACAAAGCTGTCTGGATTAATAAATAGCTATCACCGTGGTCTGAGAAGGTCAAAGCTCAAATGTAAATAAAAAAATAAATGAAAAAAGCATTAGCTTAGACTGTAAAAATTAAGTAGATTGTATTGTCTATTACAATGTGGAAACATTCTAGAATGTAAAAAATGTAATATAGATTGATTTTTTTTTTGAGGTGTCTATGAGGTCAGACAAATGGACTGAGTCTCTATAGTGTTAGGGTAGAGAAAATAACATATAATATAAAGTTTTACAAAAAAAATTTGATATTCATTTATGAGTTTCTAGAGGTTATGAAAATTAAATTGGAAACTATAAGATGAAAAAGTATTTTTTAATCTTAGCATGAAAATCTTCTTGCACTTAGACTAATCAGCCTCTAGCTGCATAAATTCACAGACAAATCTTTAGTAAAAATACTTAATGTAAAATCTGATTTTTTTTTGTGTACAAAATGTTTGAAATATTTACTGAAAGCCTGCCAAGTTTCATGAAGATGCATTTACCTGTCAGTTGTACAGTAGTTACAAAGTCTGTAATTTTGGCTGACCTTGTATAGTTAAGAGTAATGCATGGATTGAAAGTTGCATCTCATTACATTTGCCATTTTGTGATGTTTTGGGTTTCCTGGTCTCTGTACCTTTCAACAGACATTTTACAAGTTGGAATACGGACAAATCTGCATACTTTTTTGCTATTTTACCTTCATCACATCTTTGTATCTTCAGTTTTAGCATTCCATTTGCCACATGTGGCTATTCTCTAGGCTCAGTGGAATTTGTCTCTTGTGAATACTTTTGTATATTCTGCCCAACTCCCATTGTTAATCATTTCCAGGATGTCTGACATTGTGGGTAATTTTAACTTCAAAACAAGAAAAGTCAAATAATCAAATACAGTGTCTTTTTATGTATCAAGAATCTGTATTTATATTGATTTGTCCATACAGGACTCTTGCATGCTCTTTAACCTCTGTGTTTGGTCAAGGCAACCCAAGTATTTTTACCCAACACTCTTGTTTACAAATCTAGGAGGTGTCTGAGTTTGAAAAAATTTGATTATATAAAAAAAAAACTAATAAAAATAATATAAGTCATGGTCTGTTTCTTTGAGGCTGTGTATGGATTTGTCCAGTTGGAAAACTCATCTCACATATCCTTCTGTGTTTGTCTTAGACAAAAATTCCACCCTCTTTGCTGGAGCTCCATAAAAAAACATTGTCCTTTGAAAGTGGACAAAGGGTTCCTTCTGGTAGCTGATGATGTCTCTGCACTTACCTTTGCCACCTGCACATGCATATTCCTGAGTGGCATTAGAGAAATGAGAAATGGGACTATCATTATTGGTAGATGTCTCAGCTTCAACCAGGATGAGGATAATCTATATTTTAATCTCATTTCTTTCTTTCTTTCTTTATGTTTTAATGTTCCTTTTTCAATTTCCTCACGTCGTTGAGTCCATCCTTGAGTGACTGCTTTGATCTTTCTTCAGTTCTCCCTGCCCACTAACTTGGCCAGTGATGTGACTCACTGGCCATTTTCACTATGGTTGAAGAGATGTTGCTGCCTCTGGAGTGTGTCCTTTCATAATATATGTCTGTTCTGCTTCAATGGAATCTTTCACAGCAGGAGTAGAACAGAGTATTCCTCCTACCTCCTTATACCAACACTAATGTCCAATTTTTGGCTCCACAGATTCTGTAAACCAATACTACTTACAAAATTGACCCCTTTTTCTGAACTAAAGGGCATCATGGGTGAAGAGGTACCCTGCTGAGAAGTATACCTTCTTTCTGAGTGTCATTTAGGCCCAGTAGTTTTTAAGGCTGGTCTGCTCCACTCATTGTCATCTTAATTCCAGTTCTGAAGTTTATTTTCTGATTCTAGATTCTACCTCAACTGGCTAGATATTTCTTGTAGTCTTCTTACCTTATAGTTTGAAAATTTTCAGTTGTTTTTGTGTTTATGCATCATTTCCCATCTAATTTACAATGTAGGTATTCTGGCTTTCAGTATTTCAGGGATAAGTCTACCTGATATGAATTTTACATTTTTAGAATTAAAATGAATTGCAAATAGGTACTTAACTCTGAAAGACCTTCTCTTCTGCTTCTCCAAAAATAATATTTCATCAAGACTGCAATCTTAATAAAATTTAAATCATGGAGAGAAAGAAGAGCTTATGTAAGGTCCCCTGAAGCTCGTGTGGTAAGTCACATGGAAGGTGGGAAAGTAGAGAAATATTGGTGTGAGATGCATGCTTTGCAATGCATTTAGGTACATTTGCAAATTTTTTGTCACCTGTTTTCTTGACAGCATGAGTTTAAACTCAACAAGAACAGGCTTTTAGTATTTCATAGGTAATACCTATGAAATTCATTGTAGTCTTGAATATTGATTCCTTAAGAAACTTTTACAGTACCTTGCATATTTGTTAAACCATGTTCATTACACTGTAGTTGATGAATGAGCTTACGTATGTTAAAGCACATATTCAATTGTAATCTTGTATGCTTCAAGCCAACTTAAATTATAACATTTTCTGAAGTGATATCATAAATTACTTTGTAGATGAAACAAAATGTTTTATATCTGTAACTCTCAAGTGATTAATTAACATTTAATGAACTGTTTGTCCTATTATTTGTATGAATCAGGAATTAGTCAAAGACAATACTAATTTTAATTGGCTTGGGATATCTACTATAAATAAATTATTTTACATTTTAGTATGTTATATATTGTTATTTATCAAAGAATACAGTATTCAAATAATGAGACATGCAGTAAGTGGATTAAAAATGTTTAAAACATTCTAAATGTTTTTAGGAAAAGTATTCTCTTTTCTGGCTGTTTGTGAAGCTGTAACTCCAATTGTGGCTGGAGTGGTCTTTTCCCAAGTTTACAACTGTTCACTTGGCATCTTCTTGGGAATTGTGTACCTGATGTCTATAGCTTGGCTACTAGTTCCTCTTGCAGTTTTCTTGTAAGTATAAATAAGTTTTGGACAAGTTTCACACTAAAGTAATGTTGTAATTGATAACTTAACATTTTATACATTTATGGAGAGTTAATCATTTTTTTTTTTCAAGAACAATTTTGCAATTCCTGTGCTGCCATTGAAACTGTTTTCTCCATAACTCATTGAGCTCAGTTTTATGGCCACTGTCATACACTTTCGCCCCAATACTGCAGTCTACATTGTAAAAAATTACTGCAAAAGACAGTAAGTTCAGTCTTAAGCCACATATCTTAACTGACTTTCCATAGACCATTTACTGTACATCAATTTTGAAGAAATTGGTAGAGAAAAGAATGGCATAAACACCAGTTTTATTCTCCATTTTTTGGAAAAATTTCAATTTGTAAAATTAGTATCATTATGTTCTGATAGTAAATAGAATTCATCTGTGCTTCACTCTACAGCAACCATAAAGCCCAACAAAAATAATCTTTATATCACTTGGTAAAGTCTGTACTGTTTAATAATCAAGAGTAAATTCACTTTCTTTTCATAGTTGTTCAGGTACAACTTGTATTGTTCAGTGGTGTAGCAGTCTTCAATTCTTGATTTGCAAGCTATCTCTCTTTTATATGTAAAATGCATGTGGGGCAAATTTGGATTGTGTTGTTCTTTTCATCTTCCCAACATCAGAATATCCAGTTAAAAATAATTAAGTTCAGGTTATAAGATTATTGAGGGTCAGTAAAAGGAAATTTGTTTACATGTCCTTATGATGATATCCAACTACTGAAATGTTTTCAGTTATAGTAGATTCTTGAATTGTTACAAGGATGGTAGGAAAGTGTGTGTTCAAGGTGACAGGTTGAGAGAAAGTTATGTCGAACATTATCAAAAGAAATGACAAGGCTAGAGTCAAAGAAATTGATAAGAGTGTAAAAAATGCTGGAACTTTTTATGTAAAGTGAAAATATGTGAATTTTTTTAATTTTAAGGCATAATATTTCTTCTAATCTGTTAAAAATACATAAGCTTCAGGGACCTTTTCCTTCCACATGGGTCACTTGGCTAGAGACCTGAGCCTCTCAAACTCATGACTTTTTCAACCTATTATTTCCTTGCCTATTCTCATACCTGAATTATAATACATCTTGCATGTACAGTGTGGAAATGGTAACAAGTATCATAGTAAAACAGATATAGGCAGAAATAGGATCTACACTTATGGGTATAAAACTATCAGATTTACTTAATACTCATAAACTTTGCATGTGAAATAAAACTGAGATACTTAAAATCTAAAACAAATTTTGGGTGCTCAAGCCAAACACTCCATACCTAAAATTACCATTCATCACAATACATTCCCTATCACCATCTGTGTTCCATTACCTCTATTCAAACTGGACCAACACCTCCTAACATATGCTCCACCCTACAATTCTGCATTGTTGCTTCAATATCTCCTGTTTCTTTCTTCGTGGGATCTTGTCCTTCCATCTTCACGTGGGTTTCATCTGCTCAGTCACTCTTGAACCTGACTTCCCATCTGGTAATCCTTTCCCTTCTAGGCATCTTTCTACATGTTCCTTCTACCTGACTTGAGGGTGTGGCTATGATTGGTCTATCAGTCACTGCTTCCTTCTGACCTAATGGTTCTAACATCAGACATCTCCCTTCCCTTTCCAGGCTATTCTACAGTGTTCAGCTGCCTCCACTTTACTGGTAGCCTTGTCCACCCCCTATTTGCGGGCTTGCTACTGCAAGGTAGTTCTCTCCCCCCCGTTCTTGTTACAGTCCTCCTTTATCCATGAACTCTCTTACCCTGCTCCTTTGCTCCACTGGGATCTTGCTGTCATCCTGCACACTCTTACATATGCCTACTTCCACCATTGGCAGCCTTCACCTGCTACTACCTTCTTTTCTAACATACTGACCTTTTCATCTCATATGTGTCTACTGTTGTTTACATCTTTACGCTGGTGATTTATCCCATACCATTTCAATCATCCTCGTCTTCTAATTTCTTCTGCCCAGTTCTTCCTTCTTTAATCTTCAGTTGCTCATTGGGGAGACCTCTACCCTTCTCCCCTCTTCCATTCTTATATTACACTTTTCTTTGCTTTTTGGAACCCAGACAGACTTTTCTGCTTGGTTTGTGCAGTTTGATACTACTTCGCTCATGCCTCTCACTTTTGGGGTTTCCACCTCCCACTCTACATTCCCTGATATTGCTCTTCCTCCTGGGACAGATCTCCTTCTGTTTTTATTGGTATGGTCTCCCACATTCTTGGTTCAGTCTCCTCCTATTTAGAGGTTGTTCTTTGTAGATGGTCTGCATTTTGTCCCATCAGATTCCTCACCTGTCATTCTCTCGCTACTTATTTCCAACTGCCACTGGACAAGATCATTTATCTCACATAACTTCATCACTCAATCTCTGCACCATCTGGCTACCTTATCTCACAGGGGTCACTGCCTACCTCCATTTTCCATCCTACAATATACTCACCATCTTTAGATGGGGGAGTATATTCCCCTTTGATTTATATCATTTGTTTCCAGGATCCTGACAGGTAGCTGGTAGTGCCTTCCAAGGTACACCTATTTCCCAGTGTACCACACCGAGCCAGAATAATAGTGTTACGTATCTGCTTGTTTGTTAATTTCCGGTAGAAATTC